TTAAATGCGAGAATTTCGGAGTATTGGACAAAAACTTAAAGACTTCAACCTGCACACTGGGAAGTTGCGATTGGCAATTTGAATGTATTTGTTAACATAATTTTACCAACGAGTAATCTGCCAGTAACACAAACTGGCTCCTAACTACGATTATTTCACGCTGACTCAACGACTTCTATTGCTTCTAATCATTGGGTTCTGAGGTCAGTGTGATAGAGGTGAAACATATAGAGTATCTTCTCCTGTATTAAGGACAGATTGACGGCGTCTGAGTGTCTTTCAGGGGTCAAAGTTCACAGCTGATTGGTAATCAGTAGGACACGTTAATCCTTCAGATGTACTTTCACTCGCTTGTCTGTCAGTTTTCCTTTAATCAGGCAAAAACAATGAGCTGTCGATCACCATTGTTTGGTTTACATTCAAACGTCATTGGTCACGTTGATGTGGGTTAAAACATGTTTGACTAAAAGATAAGCTAGCTAACTCCTAAAACAACAAAAAAGACAGCTGCTCTACCAACACTGTCTCTTCCTTATTCTACTTTGTAGACAAAAACATAGCTGATCGTTTTGTATTGGGCCCAGGCTTTAGATTGGTGCAGGAATGAGTCCTAAACCTAGATTAGTCAGCATTTAAGCACTTACAAGTTCCCTCGAACTGGTAAGATGACTTAAATAAGGTCTGTGGTTAATATAAGCCGAAGATAATTTAATGTTTTTGTTCTAAAATACATCAGTAAAAACCCCACTGGTGAAATTTAAAACAGCGGTTGCTAACAAGTGTCTAAATTAGTCAACTAAATGTCATCAAACCCAACATTAGCCACCTTTAGCTTAGCGGTGGTGACGTGAAGTCATGTGACCGAGCTGTAGTTCCTTTATAGCCCAACATTAGCCACCTTTAGCTTAGCGGTGGTGACGTGAAGTCATGTGACCGTGCTGTAGTTCCTTTATAGCCCAACATTAGCCACCTTTAGCTTAGCGGTGGTGAAGTGAAGTCATGTGACCGTGCTGTAGTTCCTTTATAGCCCAACATTAGCCACCTTTAGCTTAGCGGTGGTGACGTGAAGTCATGTGACCGTGCTGTAGTTCCTTTATAGCCCAACATTAGCCACCTTTAGCTTAGCGGTGGTGACGTGAAGTCATGTGACCGTGCTGTAGTTCCTTTATAGCCCAACATTAGCCACCTTTAGCTTAGCGGTGGTGACGTGAAGTCATGTGACCGTGCTGTAGTTCCTTTATAGCCCAACATTAGCCACCTTTAGCTTAGCAGTGGTGACGTGAAGTCATGTGACCGTGCTGTAGTTCCTTTATAGCATAACGCTTTTTACTTCAGAAATCATAATGTGGTGTTAATATTTGGAGATTATCCTGCTGAACAAAACGTGTAAGCATCATAAAAGTTTTTTTGACACAGACCTTATATTCTGCAATTTGATCGAAAACCAATGGAAAAAACAAAGACTAAACGTCATCACGCCGAACATTATCCGCCTCAAGGTAAGCAGTGGTGATGTGTCATGTGACCGTGCTGTAGTTTCTTTATAGCCCAACATTAGCCGCCTTTAGCTTAGCGGTGGTGACGTGAAGTCATGTGACCGAGCTGTAGTTCCTTTATAGCCCAACATTAGCCACCTTTAGCTTAGCGGTGGTGACGTGAAGTCATGTGACTGTGCTGTAATTCCTTTATAGCCCAACATTAGCCGCCTTTAGCTTAGCGGTGAGGACGTGAAGTCATGTGACCGTGCTGTAGTTTCTTTATAGCCCAACATTAGCCGCCTTTAGCTTAGCGTGGTGACGTGAAGTCATGTGACCATGCTGTAGTTCCTTTATAGCCCAACATTAGCCACCTTTAGCTTAACGGTGGTGACGTGAAGTCATGTGACCGTGCTGTAGTTCCTTTATTGCCCAACATTAGCCTCCTTTAGCTTAGCGGTGGTGACGTGAAGTCATGTGACCGTGCTGTAGTTCCTTTATAGCCCAACATTAGCCTCCTTTAGCTTAGCGGTGGTGACGTGAAGTCATGCGACCGTGCTGTAGTTCCTTTATAGCATAACGTTAGCTTTTTACTTCAGAAATCATAATGTGGTGTTAATATTTGGAGATTATCCTGCTGAACAAAACGTGTAAGCATCATAAGCGTTTTTTTGGACACAGACCTTATATTCTGCAATTTGATCGAAAACCAATGGAAAAAACAAAGACTAAACGTCATCACGCCGAACATTATCCGCCTCAAGGTAAGCAGTGGTGATGTGTCATGTGACCGTGATGTAGTTTGTTTATAGCCAAGTTTAGCATTTTACTTCTGGAGATTGCATTTACACTTCAACAATCACAAAGTGGTGTTAATATGTGGAGATTATCCTGCTGAACAAAACATATCAGTATCAGAAACATATATTCAAAAACCCAATGGAAAATCCCATTGTGTTTTAATGGAGGGAGCCCTTGTGTTATGGTCAGCCTACAAAAACACGTCATCACTGCACCACTCTATTGCTGAGCCCTGTGTTTCTCAAGGTCTGTGTGATAATGGATGTGTTGATGGGATGCTTTGTGGCTGGGTTGGAGTCCCGCTGGCAGCCTGCCATCCACTCAGCCTCCCACAGTTGTTCCAGCATCATCAGCCATAAACCAAAATATTATGGCAGACTGGGAACCTCTTTATTACCGAGGCACTGTCTAAATCTCTCAAGTCACTGAAAGGGTCTGGTATGAAACGCTTCATAATTACAATAAAAAAATAGACCACATAAAATATGATGGTGTGAGTTGTTGGTAATATTGATTCAACTACACATTTTGTTGACATAATTGTTGACACTATTAAATGAATATGGACCAACACCAGCAATAGTCAAAAGGAAAACTAAGACTAACTGGGAAAGTAAGGTCACTTTAAAATGCTCCAATTCACTGCTTTTAAAAAGGTGCCACTTTTACAAATAACGGATTATGGTACCAAGGTCAACATAATACTTGTATATAAATAAACTTGTTTTTAGAGTAGTAATAACAAAATCCATATACTTAATAGCGGCTTTATTATGTTGATTAAACTGTTCTATTACATTTGCTAAAACAAATATTTGTAGTCCTAAAAATATCAGCCTTTTTTCAAAATGCAAATTTGTGCAGCGAAAAGATCCAATATCCAATCAGACCATTGGTTTTGTAAAGGTAAAATACACAATATTACGTTTCTATCATGCATGCAGAGATAGGTCGAACACACAACCAATCAAAATGAAAACAATTTGTCCTGAATTCTGTGTTATCGTCTGGCCTTCACTAGAAAAAGGAAGATCAGAGATTGGTCAGGTCAATTTGACTTTATGGCCCTACAGAATAACACAATTTGAAAACTACTTAAGTGTTATGCGTATTTAACGAGGCTTGGAAATCATAAATGGAACAATTACTGAACTAAAGTCTTCTATCTATTGCCATGCTCTAAAAAAAAAGGCTTTGGGAAAAACATTGTACTCTCAGCCAACACGGCCCGAAAGAGATCATTTGCAAAGTAAGCTCTGACAAGCAAATGTTACTGGCTCACTGCGACTCCTCTCCATTCCTTCTTGCACTTTGGGAACTAACATTTTTTGCAGGATAAGCTTGCACATGTTGAGACGGAGAACGGCAGCTATGTTGTAGCCGTGAAGCAAGTCGACCTCCTATTCCTTCACACAGCTTTCTAAATGTGTCACAGGGAACCACGCCAAGGGGGAAGAACACGGAAAGTGAAAATTAAAAAACAGGTTTGATGGCTCTCCTGCTTTTACCAGTGCCAGCGTCGGGCACCCTATGGTGCCATGTGTTAATTATTCATTGCAGACTCCCAACACCTTCGGGTGCCTCTGACGATGGAAATGCTAAAAAACTGATTAGTTCATAGAACTGATGGGGAGCTTGTGTGCAAAATGGGTGACCTTTACGGAGGCTATTAATGAGACCATCATTAAGGAGCAACCACATTTGTTTGGTCCTGTAGATTCAAATGAAGTCAGAGATGAATGATGCATGTTTTTATCCCTGATTGCCAACATATTGGTCTTTGTAGGTTAAACACCAGGAAATATTATCCAAAGACAAGAAATTAAGTTGGTAATTTATCGTTTCATATTGCTGGCCATTCGGGAGCAGCCAACTGCCAAAAACTGTTAATTATTCTCTATTTGTTGCAAGCTTAACTCCCCCAAAACTGCTTTTTCAGTGTGTTAGTCAACAACAAGCCTCATGAGTTTAATTAAGTCCAGCTAAATAATCCAGTTTCAACACATTTTCGAAAGGCTAGCGAAAGGCTAACAAACCCAAACAAGGAAATGACAAGGTACTTGTCTCGTCCTTTGATTTCTTTAAATGTGGAAACATACTCAAGAAATCTGTTTTTCTCAAACTAAGAAAGTAGGATAGTGCTATCCAAGGTTTTCCCTAAGAGAAAAATACACGTATTTCATTTGAGTGAAGACTAACTAGTTTAATTTTGGTTGTGGCAGGTTATCCCTATCAGCCAGTTTGGCAGGTGAACACTCAATGTTGACATCCCCATCATGCAGGGTGGAAGAATTCCCAAGGGAGGGGTGAAGCCTGAAACAACACTGGAAATCAAATCAAATCAAGTTTTATTTATATAGCACATTTATAAACGATTTTTGGTGGAGCCAAAGTGCTGTACATAAAATAAAAATAGCCTACAGTAGAGACACTTTACAGCAAATACAACAGCACAGATTGTTCAGAATATCAGTATGAGAAAAACGACACCCTCTGTCCTTAGACCCTCTGTCCTTAGACCCTCACATCGTACAAGGAAACACTTCTAGAGAAAACCCACAGTTTAAGGGGAACAAATGGGAGAAACCTCAGGGAGAGCAACAGAGGAGGGATCCCTCTCCCAGGACGGACAGACGTGCAATAGATGCCGTGTGTAAATCGAAGAGATAATACATTTTACAGCATATAGACCGAATGTTAGGAAATGCATGTGTCTAGACTTACCCATGGTGGTAGATCCGAAGTAGGCACACTCTGCTTCAATACTTTATCCTCATGGTCCAGGTATGCTAAGGCTCGGTTTATCCTGTAGTCCTTAGTGCCATGGTTTTTCCTCCAATAGAACAACATGGCGAGTCCAATGAGAACCCAACTAAAGCTGAACTCAAAGTATCCCATGACGTAGATGGGCAAGATGATGGCGAAAGTCTTGACGAATGTAATCCACATTTGTGTGACATCAGTCAGAGAAGACTGAGGCCCGTCGTCCAGGTCTTCTGGGGACAGTGGCGGACCGATTTTGGAGCTTGTTGGGCTGCTTGGTGCTGCAATGGGTCCTTTCGCCTTGGCTCCTGGGGCTGAAGAACCCTCCATCCTGTTAGTCATTTCACCACTGGAACGACATTTTAAAAACACGAAAAGTTATACAGTCTGCAAAACACCTGAGCTCTGCTAAGTGCCCCGATAAACATTCCTGTTTGTCATGCAATATACTTATCTATATAAATAGTTATCCACGCAATAAACTGTATTTAATTTTGTCTTAATTCACATTATTTTATTTCATATTCTGTTCTTGTACATATCATATTCTATTTACATGTAGACTTTTTGCACTACTTTTTATTTTGTATTTTATTATATATGTTGTTTTGGAGGAGCTCAGGTCAGAAGAATTTCATTGCCATTTCTACACTGTAGCTTTGTGCATATGACAATAAAACCTTTGAATCTTGAATCTTTGAATCTTGTAACAAACCTACAAAGTCAAAGCATCATTTGTAGACATTTATTGTTGTGCATTCTTTTTTTATTGTATACCTGTTAATTATCTGTCCATATATCTGTATTAGATTTGGTGTTCAGGTGTGTATGTATGTGTATATATTCGTATTCTTTGGGACGGTAACAAGCGCAATTGGATTTCTCTGTCTGTAGCACACTCGGAGAAATTGACAATAAAGTGTTCTTTGACTTTTGGTCAGGATGCACGATATCTATCTCCAAAGGTCAGAAAATGACGACACAGTCATGCTGTAGTTATACCCTAAGGAATAAAACAACACTAAGCATGACAGAATAAAACAAGCCAACTGTTGAGGCTCATAAATGTACCATTGAGATGCTGTGTCTAACTAACTGGTTATTTGATTAGTGCAAATACTGATGAGAAGTGTATGGACAGCACACCAGGGGGTGAATGTATACAATATTTCACTTCCTGTGTACCAAAGATGTTATAGGTTCCAAAAATACAATTTAACAGTATTTAAATGATTGGTATATTAAAAAGGCTACAATAGATATCGGGCCTAACCCAGATTGAGGCTCCATGTTACAGTAAGTCCCCTTCAACAAGTAGCCTATGCAGTAAAAAGTTGACTACACAACACCCACATTAGAGCCGAATATTACCTAACGGCATTAAAATAATACTCTTTTAGTCTCCAAAACATTTCCAAATGGCATATTAATACATGTTATTCCACTGTCTACCTTCTTGTCTGGGAGGACGTCATACGAAACTCCATTGCAATATTAGCACATTTGTGTTACCTGTGTAAAAGGTCAGCAGTAGCTACTTCAAAAGTGAGAACGTAATATATTATTCGTAATGTTACACAATCTTTTTTAATTCGGCATTAACGTAATACACCTACACAATTTATTTTCTGTAAGATTTTGACTTTTAAAAGTGCTTCAACATCTGCCTCCGCAATCTTCTGCCATCAAAACACACTGCAACGTAAAGTGTACATTTGTTAACTAAAGTACATGTTTTACTGAAATATATTGTGTTTTGCTAGATTAAATATATGCCGAATACAAGATGACATTCTACTAAATCTAAATTGTGTATACGTTTTAGCCTACAGTGCGTAGAATTACAAATAAAGCAAATTATCTCTTAATTCCACATGTTTTTGAAGGGAGTCTTTCGTGACGTTCTCTCCGCAAAGTGACACGTATCGGAGCTGCGGAAACCAAACACTAGCCGGAAAAAAACTACTTATTTATCAAACAACACACTCACCAGTATCGACATTCGTCCTTCCCTTTAAAAAATAAAGTAAAAAATCACTCGTCCTCTCAAGTCCACAGCATGCCGAGCAGCTTTAACTCAGATAACCCCGTCTTCCCCTTCAGCACATCTCGCTCTGAGGCGGACAGCCTGCAGGAAACTGTCATTGCGGGAAGAAGGTCAGCCTCAGACGGGGAGGGAGCTTCACAACACAAACATAACGGCGGACCTGGGCGCCATCTTGTGGAGGGAAAATTGTGCTTCTTCTCCAACTGTCAAAGTTTCACAAATACGATATTTGAGCAGTCTTCGAAGTTTTAATGTCAATTTAGTCCACATTTGACGATATGTTGTTATACCTAGACCTAGATATATTCTTAAAATCTCTCCCAAAACACATTCAAGACCAAACTGTCCATATTCAAATAACAAATCCAAACTCTCCTTGTTTCAAAACATTTTATTTTTTAAATAGCCTAAATATAGTTAATATCAAGTCCAACAAGTGGTTTTATTATAGGCCTAATAGTAGGATGTCCATAGTTTTTTATTTGTGTTGGTTTTCTTTTGGATCCGAACATCCGAACACACAAAGTTGTCTCAATGGTCTAATATTTTTATATTTTAACAAAAATAATAGGCCTTCAAGGTCCCACAAATTGTAAAATGCATTTACAGTAAGGGGTAAGGTATCAGTAAATGTGTTATTTTAGCTATATTTCGGGGTAATTGATCATACTGCTGGTTCAGTTGCCTTGTTCCCACTCCCTATAGCCTACAAATCATTTGTAGGACAACAATACAATTATTGGTATTGTCTTAAAAGTAGTCAAATTTAAATATATAAAATCTAAATTAAATGCTACAGGAATCAGCCCGTGCGATAGGCTACTACTAACCACGTACAGTCTTATTTAAACATGATGTTTCCCTGATTGATCTTTCTATACTTATTTTTATATCTCAGATATATGCAAAACTGTTTGTGGTGTGGTCAAAATATACAACTAGTGAGGCTTCAACTATGTTCCCACCGCACTTTACCAATCCCTTACACATGCCATCAGGGATACAAGCATTTGACCTTTGACCATTTCATCCTATCTGCCTGTAATGTGGGAGCTTACACTAGCCTACTACTATTGACCTCATTAGTTTACGGTATAAATTAGACAGCCTACTCAAATTTTCTATGTAAAATTAAAAGATACCATCTTGAAGTGGACTGTAAATGAGGAGTTTTTGAGCAGAATTTGCACAGAGCGTGATTACCCACTAGATGTCATGGTAGTGTTTGTATAGAGTATAAATCCACATCAAGACTATAAAATACATTCTGGAGAAAAGGGGGGAGTCTGCAGAGACAGTTGATGTATTGAGTATGTAAGTCGCTTTGTCGCTTTGGATAAAAGCGTCTAACAAGTAGCATGTAATGTAATGTAATTGTTTATTGAAAGAGACATTTGCATACCTTGTTCATGGTGGAGTGCCGTTAAGGAGTATTCTAGGCACTACACAAATAATCATTGAGTTACATGGATGAATTATCACACTTAATTAACTGGAAAGTAAATCTCCACATAGTATACTGTAAGAAACTCAACTCAGCAAAAAGGATATTTAGGTACCAATTTAATTTTCTTTTCCCACTCGAAACTGAAATGTGAGCAATTTTTAAAATAATAAAAACTTTTATTTGTATCTCGCAGTTGTTAAGCTGTTCACTACAGTATTTTTCCAGGAGGTGAATACATTAAAATCAGAGCAAAACAATCATTTAGAAAGAAAAAAAACCATGACAAGCAACAGAAAACCTTATAAGGGAAATGACTGGAACCAACAACGCCCTTCCTCTTTAGAGAGCTCCCCAGAAACCACTTCAAAACTAACAAAACATTAATTTAGCATCCAATCAGTGTTAATGCATGTGGGTACCGGGGGGGACATTTTTTTTGTGTACTCCGATGCTTTAGCAAAACATTTTCTTGAAATGTTTACCAATACAGCCACTTTGAATTGAATTTAAATTCATTAGAACATGTCCTTAAAGTTTATTTGAGTTATATATATTGTATTACAATGTGTACAATTGTAAACGTTTTATATAAATATAAATATATTTATTAAATAAGCGTATCTTTCACTTTTTATGTTTATATAATATGTAAAAATATTGGTTATGTTTTATCTTTTTTATATATATTTATTTGTAATCTTTTATACTTTTTTGAATTTTTTGTACACCTTTTTCAAAAGAAAATTAAAATATTTATTTAATTTATTTTTCTTAAATGAAGCAACTTTCGCAAACCCAATTTTCCCCTGGAATAAAAAATGAGCCAAAAATAAATAAGAAATAAATAAGAGTTGAGAAACTTAAAGATAAGTTATTGCCCTTATCTGGCTCAGGGTTTACATGTTTAAGGTTTTTTTTAACACATCACGCAGTGTTGTGTCCCGTCAATTATGTTAGTTTGTTAGGTATTTATCACGTTGTTTGTTTGTTTCACTTCCTGTTTTATTTTGTACTCCTTGTCTCATTCCAGGTGCCTTTACTTCCTTGGTTCTTGTTTCCTGCCATCGTCAGCGTCTGCCCCGCCCCTGATTGTTTCCACCTGTTCCCACTTACCTCTTGTATATATTGTCCTGTCTCCCCTTGTCTGTTGTCAGTTCGTCTTGTTCGTCATGCCAAGAAGTCAGATCCAAGCAGCCATAGAGGGACCAAGTACCTTTTGTGATATCCTCCATGAGAGCGTTTTGTTTCGTGACTGTTTTGTCACTCCCTCTGTAAAGAGTGTTTCTTTGTTTTTGATTCATTAAAGTTTATTTTTCTTCATACCCTTTCGTCTCCGGGTTGTGCAATTGAGTCCTTATATCAGTGAGCCACGGTTCCTAACACGCAGTTTAAATCCGGGTTTATACACAAGTCATAAAGTACTGGGACTGCTTTATGTTTTCTGTCTGCTCATATTAATGTCTTGTTGATACTTTCACCCACAGCTGGTAGCTGCCAGGACAGAAACCATGTACTGAGATATGTGCATTTATAAAAAGAGACGGGAGCATGTATTAATGTCCTGAGAGCTCCTACTGAATCACAAAGTTTCCACTCGGATCTTAGGTGACTTTAGCTGATAAACTGTGTGTTTCCCCGATGAACTTTACTAGATTTCAAAGAAAGACTTTCATAATCTAGTTGTAAATCTGAAAGACTCATTGAAGTGGATACATATTTATTTTAGAGCGCCCTTTCTCACATCCGCGCAGTACAACAGTCAAAGCTAGTTTCAGAATGACGTATTTGTCCTTTTAACGCTAAGTGCCAACATTGTGTAAGTATCACTGTATATATAGCCTACTTGTGCCCATGTATGTGCACATGGTAGTGTTGTTAAAATGAGATATGTTCAGGCAGTCTTGCATATTGCTAGCTTGAGCACCAGTAACCAAAAAAAACCTGGTCTAAAGCCAAGGGCACCATATTTTCCTGCTATTTGAAGGGAGCATTAACCAGATTAGGATGGGTTTATAATGCACATACACTATTGCTACCAAAAAGTCTCCTTTAATCCATATTTGTTAGCATTTAGCCTTTGTACTTAACAGTTTTCATGCTTCAAATGTAGAATTAAAAAAAACGCAATTTAGGAACCACAAAAGTATAATGACAGAGGGAAAACATGAAATGATATGAATATATCAACATTTTCCTCCACCATATTATGAAATGAAGAAGCAAACTCAATACAACAAAAAATATGATATATTTGTTCAATAAATGTACTTCCATGGCTTCCACATGAACTCCATTTAACATCACATACAATCCCATTTGCTTAATATGCAAACTTGGAAACTATTTCTACAAATTCATAAACGTCCAAAATGGTTTTATCCTCTTTTAAAGAAAGAAAAGAATAGGCACAATAGCTGCGTATCACACCATTTTTTCTTCAAATGTCTAACCAAAAAGTGAAATCATTTCAAATGTATTTAGAGTTAGGGTTATGGGTTACCCCGGGTAACAGGGTTGTTGTGGGGTGAGTGAGTGTTTGGATCCAGACTTCACAGTTGGATTTAGACAAACAAACCCCAGCTCCCTGTTATTCCTCCCCCTCTCAGTGTATTGTGGGAAAACATCTAACACAGGGCTTCTGTTTGGCTCTGATAGTCCGCACAGAAATGATTTGGCGGGGATGAAAATAGTTCTGGATCGCTGCCATCTGTAGTCTTTTGGTAATAAAGAAGTGGATAAACTGTGAACTGCAGGTGGTAAGCATCATGGGCCAATTAAAGAGGCCACATTCTGCTCATTTTCAGGTTAATATTTGTATTTAGTGCCTCTTCTGGGACATGTCTCCATGCTTTCATGTTCAAAAAGAGAAAGAAAATTCCATCTGGAGGGAACAAAGGGATCCTTTGCAGACCATTGACATGCACAGAAATCCATATGACACATTACAGAAAAGGGAAAATCCCACAAAGCATAATAGGGCCTATTTAACGGCTATAGAGAACCGCAGTGACGCATCCTAAAACCCGGAAGTAAACTCCTTCCGGTTCCTTCGTCAAAAACGCAATGCAATTTCTCCATAGGATTTTGTAAAATAGCTGGAAATAAGGTCTGTGGTTGAAACACATTTAAGAGACGGATCACGTTTTGTTCAGCCGGATAATCTCCACATGTCTATCCTACTTTTATCATTTTCTAATCATAAATCTAGTCGCCAGAAGCAAAATGCTAACGTAATGCTATAAACGAACTACTGCAGGGTCGCTGCTTCAACGTCAACCCGACTTAAGATCCATATTCAAACATACAGATTGTAAATGGTACAAGTTCAAGCTTTTGTTTGAACACTTTGCAGGAGGCAGGGACTTGCTTTCAAGCAGACCACGGGGAAACAAACTTAGCGGGAGTGTTTACGTGTTCGGTGTAATGACGTAAAATGGCCTGGACAACTTCTGTAGTCCTATTCAGCCACTCGGTAACAACCATCGTTTTTCAGACACGTCAACTCTTCAAAAATCACCAGTGGGGTCACTGCTGATGGATTTAATGTCGTAGAACAAAACGTGATCCGTCTCAAACACAGACCTTATTTCGAGCTATTTTCCAAAACCCTATGGAGAAATCCCATTGCTTTTTGTCGAAGGAACCGGAAGTGGTA